TGTCTCTTGAATATCTTCTGTTGTTGGAAAATATATTGGATTATTAATACACATAATTGAGTTAATAGAAAATCTAAATTGATTTAATCTTGACATTCGATTAATAATGTTTTTCTTCAAATGATTTCCATCAATAAATGTTTCATTAACATAGACTGTAAGATACAAACCAAGTTCCTCTAGATTTGACATTCGATTGAGAAGTGGAAGAATTGTTTTATTATAATCATATGTTAGGTGTTCAGATGACAGAGAAAAATACTTTAGATTTGGTAAATCACCCTGAAAAAAATTATTTAACAATATTAAAAGTTTTTCTTATAAAACAAACTTAATTTTGAATTTCATCGTGATAATAAACATCTACCATGTCAACATTGAGCGTATGAAGTTGACTAAAACGACCATCAAGAATATAAAGACAATCTTTAAACCATTGTACTCTTATATTCAATTTCAAAAGAGTTGAACTACGAAAAGTAGTAGGAGGTGGATCATCAAAACATAATAGAACACGATTTCTATACGATGATTCATATAATGTTAAACAAATTAAATTAGTGAAAACAGTCAACATGTAATTCAATATGTTTATTATTGTTAATTTTGTTATGTTATTATTATCAATTGTAATAAAAAGTCTTCTAATCTGATCTTCGAAAATATCAGATGAAAGCTTTTTATCTAAATATATTAATAAGATTAAAAAAACGTATGAAAATAACATCAATATATTCATATGATAAGTTTCATAGATTTTTCATTTTTATTTTTCGAATAAGAAAAAATATCTTACCAGTGCAAAGACATCGAGCTGACTCTTCATTAATATTATATAGACCAAGAGTATGTAAATTAGGATAATCAACAGCATTTAAAACATATTTCATAGATGATGATTCAAGATCAAGCCATTGAATTTTACGACGAATCAAAGGTAAAATTTGTAAACAAAATCGATTACGTATCATATCACAACAAAATAGATCGATAAAATTATGTGATAACCATTTAACAAAAGTCAAATGACTTATAAAAATTGGATCTTGAATAATTTTATTTAGTCGTTGATTGACACCTTGAAAAGAATAAAGTATATCAAAATTGTTGAGTTTTTTGAAAATAATCATAAGGATTTCATCAGGTAAATCATTTAATCCAATGCATGAATATTCCATGTTTATTGTTACTGATCTATTATTTTCGATATATGAAAAATCAATATTTATATGCATATATTCATCTATTCTATTTGACCGATGTCGTCAATACAAACAATGATACATTTTTCTCTAGTCAACATTGATAATGAATTGAAAGCATAAATGAATGAATGAATGAATGAATATTGTTATTTCTGTTTTCTCATTTGTCTAGTATATACAGTTGCTCAAAAAAGTATTGGACCAAAACTTTTTTGAGTCATACAAAAATTTCTTTCAAAACCAACCTTTAGAATGGCAGACTTTTGCGAAACGTATGTATGATAGACAACTTTGTTTGCTCTATCTAATGGTGGTATTAGAATCAAACAACAACGTATTTTGACATTGAAAATATTTTTTTTTTCGGAAAATGCTGAAAAATTCAAAAAAAGTAAATGACTGACAAATTTGTAATTTCGCTTGAATTGAAAAGGTACATATATAGTTTTGTAGAGCAGCTCACAGCGCATCCAATGGTATATAGCAAATTACATTTTCAGTAAGTTTTGATATATTAAGAATTAAAATACGAGTTGGAAGTCGCATACTAAGTACACATATACAAATACTTCAGACAAAAGGTTAGTATTTATCATTTTTCTCAGATGAGAGTCTGCACTAAAGAAGTTCTCTTTTCATTAGTGGATAGCCATACATGTCCTCCATCAACATTAGAAAAAAAAACCAATATCAAAGTTCCTCTCTAGAATTATTGATCATTTTTTCAACATCATCAACATATTTTTTATATATCCATCCAACGATTCTCTACACATTGAACTTTTTTCGCATATTGGATTACTCTGTACATCCTTTTCTCTATAGGTTCATTCTTCATAGAGGAAGGATGAATACTGTCTTCTTCTTTCTTTTCTTTCTTTTTATTCTATATCAC